AAAATTAACATATTTTCTTGACCAATTTTCAACCAATCTTCTTTGTCGCAACTTTTCGACCATTTTTTGACAAATTTACGAATTCGTTAAAAATTGGTCAAAATATTTTGACCAATTTTCGACTCTAATATTTCATCATATTTTCTTGACCAATTTATAACGAAAATAAACATTCGTCTTAAATTGGTCGAAAATTGTCAAAATAGTTTTGACCACAAAAAAAATTGATCAAAAATCGATATGTTTTCTTGTAGTGATAGTTGTACGAATCAACATAAAAATTAGCAGAGTAATATGATCACATGTTATGCTCGGTCTAGACCAACAAAAACGAAGATGATATTTGGTAAAATTTTATAAAATGGATCTGACGATAATTGGGTTCCAATATCTAAACTCTCCAAAGTTGTTTATTTTTTCCAAACTGTTCTCACATGATCAATGCCATAGATGATCCAGTTAAGACTTTGAACAAGATCTTATACGTTAAGTCACTAAAGTAAACTTATTGTAAAGATCAACTTTACCATAGGTAAATGCTCTCTTGTAATACATTAACTTTATTTTATATGATATTTACGATTTAGCAATAAAAAAAAGTTATTCAACAATCGTGGTCTTGCTTCCGTATTACATGAAATGATAAAGAACACTCGACATAATGTTTCGGAAAACAAGGTATTTATGATGTTTTAACTTTCTAAAAATTCTTTGCTTATGAACCAAATACCATTATTTGTTTCCTCAACGGGACAAATTTCATTCCATAAATAACATTTTTTTGGGTAAGATACTATTAATGTTAGAAGTTTGACCCATATTTAATTGATCAAATAACTTCATATCTACCATGAGGTTGATAGTTTGGATCATTGGTTGTTTGTGATTACTATGTCGAAGATATGTGATTACTTTTGGTTATGTGTCTATATAGGCACATTGATTTCATCTGATTTGTTTCAAATTGTAAAAATAGTTACCAATTTGTTTTGTCCTCATTGATTATGGAAGGTCACAATATTTTTGCTTAAAATGATTGGTCAATGTATCAAAAGTTACAAACTTAACATTACCCGTAGTATCCATATTTTCTGATTGTTTTACAAACATGCAACTTTGAATCTGGAACTCAATCTTCTACATAATCCAACCTTAGTAATGAAATATGAGTACGACTATGAAGAGGTTGAGAGAAGCACAAACAAGTTCGTGAGAGTTATCGGGTGAAGAGAGTTTAGAGTCGTATACAACAAAGTTTTAGAAAGCCAACAAGTAGCAGTAAAACTGTTAAATGTATGATATAGCCATGCACAAAACCATTTAATGGTATAGGTATATAATTTTTTTGAATACAAGTATATTATCCGAGAAATGATTAGT